AGCCCCAGAAATGGATGTGGCTCATTACCTCACTCTCACTGTTGGAAGCCAAAGGTCAGCTATGTGGAAACTGCCTACTGAAACAAAACTGGCAGTCATCCCTCTGCAGAGCTGAAAGGTTTTGATTCCACCTTTTCCTTGGTCTTATCTGTGCTCTGAAATAATTTTTGGAGGTTTCTTTGTTTTCCCAGCAACTTGGAACACAGTGTCCAGAACACATCCTCCATTTTCTTTCCTTGGCTTGGTGATTTTGATAGGGACTTTGTTCTCTTGGATATATGATATTTAGTTAACTTAGTGTTTTAGTTATTTTTCTCATTGCTTTGACAGAATACTGGCACTCAAAGTTAAGGGAGAAAAGGTGTATTTAAGCTCACAGTTTGTAGAGCTTTCTGTTCATAGTCCTCTGGATGGCAAGGCGGAGGGGCATCACAGAGGAGAAACATTCTATGACAGGGCTGGGAGGAGGGCCGCAAGCAATAAATAACAAAGCAGGCCTCCCTTTCCCTTTTGTCCCATCCTGGCTACAAGCCTATTGGTTGGTGGCATCCACACCCAGATTGGGCTTTCCCATTATCCACACCCAGAATGATGCAAAACTAATCAGTGGACCAATTTAGTACCACACATTCTTAATCCTAGTATCACACACCCTAGATTCAGCCACTGCTGCAAAGCCCCATCTATGACCATCTGAGGTTTTGGGGGGACATCTAGATACAAGCTGTAACACTTAGGCTTTTCAAAGCATGGAGTTAGATCCAAATTATGGGACCCAGGGTGTCTGGAATACTTAGGATGATATATCTGGGGTAGATATCATAGATCATAAAATACCAAGAAGAGAAACCCTGAAGGTATGCATAAAAAATGCCCTTCTAGCTCTCCCTCACAGGGGGCGGGCTGCTCTTGGGATACGAGAGCCAAGTGGTCTGGAATCAGATTGAGGTTGCAGAGTAGCCATGTACACTGGGCAGAGCATCATACCCTATTTTCCATGCCCCATTGCTAAGACTTTTCCAGGGGGACCCAACACGAATGTGGCCAGTGTTTGATCCCCTCTCTGAGGCCAGGACCCTCTGAGCGCTGCATGGTGGCCAGGCACCATAGCCCACCCTTGGGTTGCTCCCCTCTCAGACTCTAGCTGTCCAGTTGGTCCAGGGATGAGCCAGTTGCTTCTCCCTTCCATCCGCAAACCCTTTTCCTTGAAAACAATCTCAGCCCAATCCTTTTGAACTAGATCTTGAAAAACCAAAAGCTCCTGACTTTCACTCCCTGAACTAGGGGAGGGGGAGTCCATTGGACTAGGGCTGGTGGCTGTCCTGAACACCCCACCATGGTGTTCTGAGCAATGACTGCATATGTCATGGCGATTCCATAAGAAATCAAAGCCACCTAAGTTAGAGGAACAGCACTCTATGATGTTGGCCCGGTGGCAACGTCACCCATTGATTCAGGTCTCACAATGCACCGCTCATGAAGGATGCATGACTGTACTTAACCCTGTCCTTCACAGTGGCTTTAGAGGTCCAGCCTCACTTGTACCCCACCATTCGCCATTTCTCCAGGAACTCCTCTCCTTCCAGTAACCAGAGGGCAAAGCTTTCACAGCAGGAGGGAAAATCCTGTAAACTCACCTTCAGGGGCAGCATCTGGGGCAGCAACCAGACCCAGGCTTCCACCCCAACCTACAGACCCTGCAAGGGCAGAGTGGCCCTGCAAGTTCCAGGAGGAAATGCAGAGGACATTTGTCCATTTGTGTCCATGTCCTGATTTTGCCCTGAGCTTGCCTTGCTTTCAGACTAGCAGCGGGCTGTTTCAGCCGGGATTGTCAGCTCTGGATTTCTCCACAGCCTAAGCGGCTTTGGGCTTGCATTTGCCTCACACAGCTATGAAGAGGAAGCTGAGTGTCCGATTAAGAACGCATAGCTGGGAACTGCAAAGATGCAAATAGGATGTACAGGGGGAAAACTGAGCTTTTCTGTTTCAGGAAACCTGCTGACGTAGGGAATGCTTCTGTTTTTCTGCAGAAATGCTGCCTTCAGTGGACAGAATTCAGCCACAATCAAGCTAATTGAATGCACAAATGTAATATTTTTGCAGGGCACCTCCGATTTAATGCTTGATGAAATCGTGTCTTTCGCATATATTTACAAAAGCTTTTCTTCATCCAGAAATGTCTGTTAAAATTGCTTATAGATGCTGAGATAGCAAATCACTCTTCTAATGTAATGAGATAAGTCATCTCTATAAACTTTGCTTGCTCAAATGTACTCGCATAAAAGAAATCAGGCTACAAGCTTTTTTCAATAAATAGAATGAACAACTAGAACTTGATGGCTATAGCACGTTCTGCCTCATTGCTGGAGGATGCTTAAAATTGCTCCCTCTCTCTTTCTCTCTCTTGCAGTAGCAGTTTTCATTTTGGTAGCTGATGGAAAAAGGAGGTCAAATAAACTGATGTGGGTAAGAAGCCAAAGCCATTTGTCAAAACGCAAGCAAAGGCCTGCAGATTGGAGTCATTTAAAGACTAAAAATTGATTTAAAAGATTTCTGTCCTCAAATCATTTTTCTTGCTAAATGTAGCTACTTTGTGAGCCTGGTTTCCCCTGCTTTAGCTAGCTTTACTAATAATTTATACCACAGGAACTGCACATACTGGGGAAGATTTATATACATAGCCATTTAGCCCCAGCCCAGTAAAAGAGGCAAGCTGCTGCCGTGGCAAAAAGCCTAACCATCCTCTCACACATGCTAAGGGTTATGGGCAACACAAGTCCATTGTGTACGGTCACTTAGGTTGACCACTGCACAACTTCGGCGAAGATAATATACACACAGACTATGATGTGAAGAATACAGGGGAAAAATCATGCTCTTGGTCATGGCGCCATAGTGCAGTAAGTTTCCATGGCTACACCACACATCCATGGCCTTTCTCTTTTTTTCTTCAAAAAATAAACGTAACCTTTTTTGTGGTTATCATCACACGACATATGAAAGCCTGCCTGGTGCCTTTCCCATGTCGTCATGAAGTGGCTTGCACACCCCCTGATGGTCATCTCTGCCCCGAGGAAGCTTGGCACAGAGGTGGGACAGGACCCACTGCCTCGCCTCTGCTCCTCCCACCGCGGCTCCATGCGGCCTGGAGCGCTTCGGAAGCCCACCTGTCTGCTCATCTGAACGGCCCCCCGGCAGTGGTTCGCCAGCCCACCAGTTTCCGAGTTCAGTGCGATAATTTGGGGTTAAAGAGGAAGGTCCCGCGTCTTCCGCAGTTCCCTGAACTCTGCCCCTCCCCACGGCAGAGGACATTTCTGGGTTTGGGCATCCGTTCTAAGAGGCTTCAGAGGTCACATTTGATCAAACCCTCTTTGCATAACCTACTTTTGAAGGAGCGTCTTAGCAGCCCGAGAGGGACTTTATAGGCCTTGTGACCCGAGCGTTACATCCAAGTTTCATCTGAAGTTTGCCCAAGGGGTCACAACGGCAGACCAGTCAGCTGGCAGCGCAGCGAGCATAGCCAAACCCTTGCGGCTGCTGTGGGTGTTTAACTGACCTTGAACCTGAAGGGAGGCAGGTGTTCACCATGGCTCCGGACTGCCCCTCCTTTACGTGCCGATTTCCACGCCATGCGCGGTCCCTGCAACCTGTGGAGATTGCACTCCACCAGCCAGGGCTCAGGATTCCACCACCGACGTGCAGGCCCTGAGCAGGAAGGAATATAGTGCAGGGGTGGAGAAGACCCTGCACACTCACCCTCTGCCCTGCCATGCTCTGCTTGGGGAGCTTAGATTAGCAGCCACCCGTGGGGCTGGGGTAGCGGTCCCCGCCTGCACCTCCCCCTCTGCAAACACAGCTGTGCTGTGCAAAATCTGCGCAAGGACGTAGCAGAAACCAGGGGGCAAATGGTCTTCATGGGGTGGAGTCAAAGACGCATGTCAGAGGCGCGGACGTCCCAGCTGTGGGAGCGGCCAGGATTCAGACCTGGCCCACAAGCATCTGCAGGCGAGCTTCCTTCCAGCTGTTAGACGTCACCGTGGACTTCAGGCAACAGCTCAGATGTTCCCTTCTGGTTGTCAGCATTCCCAGTCCACCCCATCAGCTTTCCCTCCCTGCTCCCTCCTTACAAGAAAGCCACAGCCCGGCTTGCTGGCGGCCAGTTCTGGAGCAGAAGCAGGAAGGAACTGGCCCCAGGTTCTAGGATCTGCAATACTTGCTAAACAGAATCCACCTCTCCACCCTTTACTATACTGGCTCCCACCCAATTTCCCTGCAGGGAGATGAGCAGGGAAGTCAGTCGGGGATTTCCCCCAGGTGCTCCCATCCCCAGGGAGGGTGTGTAATGCTGCCCTTGGATCCCATTATTTGTGTGTGTGTGTGGTACCGGGAACTGAACTCAGGACCTTGCACTTGCCAGGCAGGTGCTCATGCCGCTGAGCTATATCCCCGGCCCGATCCCGTTAAACAGAAATGTTCTCCACCTGCACCAGCCAATATGCTCACTGCAAACACAGGGGAAAGTGAGCACTGGAAATGTGAGTGTTGGGCAGGTGTGGTTGCTCATGCCTGTAATGCCAGCACTCGGGGAGGCTGAGGCAGGAGGACTGAGAGTTTATGCTTTGGCTGGGCAACTTAGCAAGATCCTGTCTCAAAAACTAAAGCATGCAAGATGTGCAGCTCAGTTCAAAAGCCCTGGGTTCAACACCTAGTACTGGGAGAAAAAAAAAAAAGGATGAAAGAGGGAGGGACGGAAGAAGGGAAAGAGGAAGGAAGGGAGGCAGGAAGAAAGGGGAAATATGGACAGTGTGACTGAAGAACTACATTTTAACTTGGTATGGGTTAAATTCACTTATACCTGAATAGCAGCCACATCTGCAGAGTGGCCATGGCGTCTGAGCTTGCTTCCCGGAGGGGAAGCTTTGCCGACTGAACGATACAGTGTGAAGCATGTTTGATTTTTACACAGTTAAATGGAAGCCAAGGCCAGCGCAGTCGTTGTCTCTAAAGTAAAAACAGTTTATTCATGACACAGTACACAGGAGGAAAAGTGTTTGTCTCACGTCACAGATTTCACTTCCAACTCTTCGGAATGTTCACGTCTTTGGCTTAAAGGAGAAGCTGGACGGGAAGCCGGGTACCCGAGGTGACTACAATAAGGGGCTGGGGCGGCGCTGTCATGTCTTCACGGGGAGTGGCTGGGGGTCTGTTAGTCACAAGCGGATTCTCTAGGACGTGAGCGGGGACGCGGGGAGCCCGCAGTTCAGTCGTCCCCACCGCAGAGGTACAGCAGCGCTTTCTGGTAGTCACCCTTGGTGTCTTGCTGCAAGTGGCCCCAGAGAAAAAGACAGCATTGTATTAGGAGAAAGACCAGCACCAGGGGCGCCGCCAGGCCGCCTCAGGACACAGCGCAGGCCCTTCCATGGCTGTGGCCCGCAGGCCTTGGGGGGAGTGGGTGGCGAAGGTGCTGGGAGACTTAAGTTCCAGTATGGCTGTGAGGGCCTGCACACACCCCGCTTTCCTCCTGCGCCCTCACGCACTGTGCCCCGACTCCTGAGGTGGCGTGGGAGTAAGTAGCTCAGGTGGAAGATGCCACTCTGAACATGCACCCGACTAAGCCCCAGGCCCCCACAGCCACCTCCAAGTCTACCCTGGGTGACTAGAGACAGGTCCCCGAACTGTCGAGCTCTGCTGGGGGATTTGCAGGGCCTGTCTGAACCACACAGCCCTTCCACGCATTTCTCCCTTTCTCTAAAATGCACAGGGACTCCACAGGTTAAGGAGATGGGAGCTGTGAATAAACACTGTCAGGCCTGCCTCAGAATTTTCAAGAAATAGAAGTAAAATAGAATGTAAATGTAACTGGTCTTCAGAGTCTCTCCCAGAGGTCACCAATTCTCGGAGAAGGAGGATAACAGGTGTGGTGAACAGAAAACATGGGCCTGGTCTCACAGAGCGTAGGACCAACCCTTACCATGCTTTCAAAACAAATCCCTGGGATGTGGTGACCAGCGCCTCTTCCCCGGAGGATCGACAAGCAGGAAGTCACCATTCTGCTCCTGCCGACTGTCCACCTGGGGCCCCAGGCCGGCGGCCTTCAGAGGCCCGGCCCTCGGGGTGTCCGGGCGGCGGGTGCACTCACCTGGATGAAGTAGTACAGGGACTTGCCGTACTTCTTCTTGAACTCAGACCTTATTTTCAACATGTCCACTTCACAGCGGGAGACCATGATCCTGATCAGGACCTTATCGCGAGTTCCCTTGCCCTAAAAGTGAAGAGGATAAGCCAGATTAAATTCCTGAGCACACTATCATCAAAAAGCACCTAAAAGTACACTCCCGGGCACAGCGTGGCTCTCCGTGCCGCCCTCCGAGGGCCTGAAACAGTTCCCTCCAGAAGAAGGAGCATCGAATTCCAAGTACCCCAGGGTGGAGTCGGAACAAACCCTGCTCTGTGCGCTCCCTGGTAAACACGCTGAGCGCCAGCACCAGGCCCTGCTCAAAAGGTCTGCGAGCTTCTACCCACAATGACAGCTTGCAACTCTCGGGACTCAGGAGGTGCCAGCTCGTGGCTGCCCGGGGCTGAGCCAGCGCAGATGGGGCAGGCAGTGAGGACCCGGAGCCTACTTCTGTAGCCTCAGGGAGAGGCATTTGCAGTAAGGGACCCAAGGGGAGACAGCGAGGCAGTGTGAGCAAGGGGGTGCCGAAACACAGGGACATTCCGGGCGTGGCAGACGGGTGGAGCATGCTTAGGGAGAGGCGCAGGGCCGGCTTTATAGCCAGGCAGACGCAGGCTCAGGCAGGCTGGGGCTCTGTGAGCACCACTCTCCTCGTCTGTAAAGAATAACCTGGAATCCCAGCACTCTGAGAGCCCAGAGCAGGAGGACCCGGAGTTCGAGCCGACCCTGGGCAACTTAGTGACTAAGCAAGACCCTTTTCAAATAAAAAGCAAAAGCCTGGCATGGTGGGGCACACCTGTAATCCCAGCACTCGGGAGGCTGAGGCAGGAGGATCATTGGGAGTTCAAGGTCAGCCTGGGCTACAGAGTGAGTTCAAGGTCAGCCTGAACTACACAGCAAGACCTTGGCTCAAAAAGACCAAAAAAAAAAAAAAAAAAAAAAAAAATTTAAATAAATAAAATAAAAAGCAAAAAAGGGCTGGGGACCGGTGTAGCTCAGAGGGAAGGCCCTAGGTTCAATCCCTAGTATTCCTCCTCAAAAAACAAGATTTCCTGCTGGGGTGTAAAGGCGGTGAGGCGCACACCAGCCACGGCAGAGCGGGTGCCCCCAGCCCTCTTCTGAGCAACGCTAGCAGGCGTGAGAACCTCTGGCCCTTGTGCTTCGCCCTCTGGTGCCAGTGTATTTGCCACGTGTACCCAAATGCACGTCCACACAGGTCAGAGAGGACGGGCCCGGGCCCTCCTCCGTCACACAGCCGCAGCTGCCCGGCGTACGCGTGCACCTGGACACGGGTCCTTCCTCCGCCCGTGCGGCCAGGACGCCCAGCAGTCTGGGCGCGGGGGAGAAGCGGGGGAGGGAGGGGGCCGCACCTTCATGGAGTCGTACAGCCGGTCAGCGAAGTACAGGGGCTTGTTCTGGATGCACTGCACTGTGGGGAGAGGAAGACAGTGAGGGGTCGGTGACGGGACGGGTGCCCCCCAGGAACGATCCGCGGGGAGCTGCGGGGCAGGAAGAGCTGAGGGCAACGGGGGCTCCTCTGCAGGACTGGGTCACTGTGGCTCCCGCTAGGGGCCTCCGAGGGCTGCAGACACCCACGTACACAAGTGCGGGCTCCCCATCCCCACCCCGGGACCTCCTCCTTTCCCGCCCGCTTAGCCCTCCTGGAAGCTCTCTGCTCCGTGTGAGCTTATTCAGCGTGGTGCCCTCGGATTTGATACATCACACTGGGAAGCCACACCACCGGGCAGGCGTGAAGGAAGAGGGCGGCCCCCGTCCCTTCTGCACTGCCCGCCCCGGAAAGCTGATGTCCACGAGGGTGGGGCGGGCCGGACCGGCTTACCCAGGTTCAGAAAAGCGTTTTCCAGGTCTCCTTTGACTTCCTTCTTGATACTCTCCAACATGTCGTAAGGGCTGTAGCTCTTGTATCTATCGAATACTGAGGAAGAGGAGCAAATAATTACACCAGCGCCTGAGTCAAAGTCGCAGGGGTCACCCGTACGGCTATGTACCACGATAAAAATAAACAAGGATGATCCTGAGAGCATCGCAGGCATGAGAGGTTGCCATGGAAACCAGCGCAGCCCTCCCACCAGTCAGTCCTGGAGCAGCTGGGTCGTGAGCCTGTCCTAAATGGCGTTCTAAATGGCATTGCTCAGGCCACAGCCTGTGACCATATCTGTCTCCATCTCCCCCGAGTGGGCCCCATTCCTCCTGGATGTCGCCAGTAACAGCAGACGGGACCAGCCAAGTCCTCTACCTTGACAAATATGTCAAGGTACAGAGACTCTCAAAGAAGGGAAGCAGCTGGGTGCAGTGGTGCAGGCCCATAATCCAGTGTTCCAGAGACTGAGGCAGGAGGATCTCAAGTGTGAGCCCAATCTGGGCAACCTAACAACTTAGCATGATCCTGTCTCAAAAACATAAAAATGGCCTGGGGACAGAGCTCACGCAAAGGCCTTTGGTTCAATCCTCCGTCCAGGAAGAAGGTGAGGGGAAGAGGGAAAGGAGGAGGAAGAGAGGGAGAAGGAAGCTAAGGCACTAAACATGGAAAGTATTTTGGGGAGAGGCGGGTGGGGGCTGATTCTCGTGCCAAGGGAGAGCGAGCCCCGCCCTGGCAGACCTTGCAGGGCCGCCTGAGCAGCCCGGTCCCAGGGCCTGCCCGGCACAGCGCCCACCTTTCTGCAGGTGGCACACGCTCCGCTCCGTCATGATGCTGATCCACTTGGGGACATCGGTCCCTTTCCTCTTCACACCGGCGTCGTAGAGATCCTACGAGCACAGCCGAGGGAGCAAGGTCGTGAGAAATGTCCCAGCATAACCCCGAACGCCACGCATCCCCCGCGTCAAGCGAGCAAGGGTGACTGTACTGCAGACACCCCCAAGACGCACAGCGAACCACAAGGGACGTTCCAGAGGCCCAGGCAGAGGCAGTGCGAGACTGGGGCCCGTGAGCATGACCAGTGCCGCGCAAATCTCCTTCCCTGAGCTGGAGAAGCAAGCCGGGCGCTCATGGTGTAAACCGCACAAGCACATCTGAGCGTGTTTAGCAGCTCGTAAGCACAGGGGCATCGGCTAAACACAGCGACAGGCCAGGCTTCTCAGGAACTCGGGAAGTGACAGAGCAGGAAAAGCAACCAGTCCCCTCTCACTTGCAGGTTCTGGAAAGCTTAGGAGCGAGAGGTCACGCTAAGCAGGGTGAGAAGGTCCCGAGTGAGACAGGACTCGTGCAGCGATCCTCTGCTCTCTGGAGCTACAAAACCCAGTCTCCACTACTGTATTTTCAACTCTTCTCTACCTCCCGCTAAAAGTGCTGTGTAGAATGCACTGACGTTTAAAACTCAAATGAATTTTTTTCCTACAGCTTTTATGACATGCCTGGAGATGACTGCCGGCCCCCTGGATTAGACAAATGGGCGCAAACAGACTACAACAACAGTTCTCCAACAGTTCTTGGGGACTTCGGCAGAGTTCTACGAGGACAACGCCACTGTCCACCATAGTGGGGGCACGGAAGGCCTCCCAGCTGGCTGTGCCTCTGTCTCCTGCTTCCCACTTGCTCATGCTTTTGGGGTGTACGGCCAAGCTGCCCTGCAGAAACTGTGCTTCTACACAGGCAAAGCCCGGAAGCCCGGGCCAAGCCCGCTCTCCATGGGGTGGCCGTTGGCAGCGTTCTGTGGGAGCAGATCTAACCACGGCTTTCTCCCTGGTGCGGCTCTAAGATGTGGTCACAGCTCTCTGAGACCCTCCCCTGCACAGACGGATCCTCCGCACCTCCCACTGACAAGAATGCACACGGAGATGAGTGTGATGACAGTGTGTGGCTTCTGCGACTAGGCCACCAAGGGTCACATCACTCCCACCCCGGAGAGCTGGCCGCCATCCTGTGAGGACACGCAGGTGACTACAGACAGACACTAAGGTGTCCTGTCAACAGCCCCGTGGGCCCCCAGCCCCCAGCAGTCGAGTCCTCAGGGGACCAGAGCCCGGGCCAATGATGTCTGAAACCTCCCAGTGACCCTAGGCCAAGCCACCTGGCTGTGCCACGCCCCAGTTCCTGGCCCAAGAAATGGAAAGATACTAAGTGTCTACTGTTGGTAATGCTGGTGGTGTTTTTAGCACCAGCGGTAAAACCCAAGGGTGCTCAACCTGCTGAACTACATGCCCAGCCCTTTTCTGATTTTCTTATTTGGAGACAGAGTCTTGCTAAGCTACCCACACTGGCCTCAAAACTTGCAGTCCTCCTGCCTCAGCCTCCTGAGTGGTCCACTAACTTTAGGGGTAACTTGTTATAGAGACACAGATAACGACACAAGCTCTTCTATAGAGCTTAACCAGAAGTACAAAGTAAGAAGCTTCGCACTTACCCGGGCATCTTGGTCAATGAGCTCATAATCAATGACAGAGCCGTCCTCCGCTCGCCTGCCCTGCGGGAAACAAGGAATGAAGACCATCAAATCTACTTCCGTGTGTATTTTTAAAACTGCAAATCTTTTCTCCCCAACTCACAGAAGCCACTTTTTCATTTCCTAAACAAACACCCACTTATATTTTTTTTTTTTTACTTTGGCTCTGGACAAGATGAGAAACGGTGACAATCACAGCAGTGGGGTGCTGCCCATTGGTACGCAGGCCCCGCCTCGGGGTGCCCTGATGAGCTGGACCTGTGACTCTCTCCTCGAGAGGAGAAATAGGCAGGGAATGGATAGTAAACCATGCTAACGAGGCAGGAAAAGCAGAAGAAGGGCCCTCTCCCTCAGGGAGCAGAGTCCCGAGTCTGAGAAGGGCGGGATGGAGCTTGAGCGGGGTCCTGGCCCAGGATTCAGGGGACAGCACAGGTGGAGGCAGGGCGGGCTCACAGGGACCGCGGTGCTGCCCGAGAGAGGCCCAGGGTGGTGGCGCCTGGAGCCTGAACTAGATGCAGGGCAGTAAAAGGTCAAAGTGGTTTACAACAGCTCCGTGGACGGTGGAGCGCAGGGAGGCAGCAGAGGAAGAGAGAGGAGCTAGGAGCGAGTGGACATGTGCGTGGCCAGGAGGCAGCGCACAGACCAAGCGAATCGCCGTGGGGCTCCTGGACAGAGCCGCCCTCTCCCTCTCCCGAGTGCGGCTGGAACTGAGACTCGTGGGGCAGGCTGCTGCCATCCCTGAAAACCAGCTGCGCCTCTACAGAGCCCACTGCAGCAGAGGACGAGGTGGGCCACGGCTCTCGTTAAGAAGGGAGAGGTGAGAGAGAAAGCGGTCACTCCTGGTGGGTCCCGCATGGCCCAGATAGAGGCAAAGTGACCTTCCCTAACCGCGCGCTGAGGGCTGGCACATCAATCCAGGCCAGACCTTCGGGGCTGCCTGCTCCTGCCTGGCCCCCGAAGCCCCGTTGTCCACACGGTTTCTCAGGATAAGAAATCCTATTATACAAAAATGACAACTCCGCAGCAACGTGCAAACCCGCTGTGGGGAAGGCAGCGGGATTTCGGATGCAGGCACAGAGGTTTAGCTAATGCGCTCCCAAGTATGAAATGAGCGGCATGACTCGGCTGGGAGGAGGGGAGGGCAAAGAAAGAAACCAAGAAACCAACCTTGGCGAGGGCAACCATCAGCTTGCGGAAGTCACCAGACGTGTCGGAGACGATGTCCTTCTCCAGATCGGTCTTGTACACTTGGAAAACAGCACATCTGTGTGAGGCTCCCTGACAGCACCCACTCCAACAACCCCGGCGCCCACCCAGGCTCAAACCGCGGGAGGGCTGGTTGGGCAAGGGGGCATCCAGGTTCCTGACCCCCACACTGAGGATAACTTGAGCCCCATGAATGTCAGCGCCGGAGTTAGCAATGACAGGGGACAAACAGGTCTAAATCCAATCAAGCTCTTCAGATTTTCTCTGGACTTAAAATGCTGGTTCCCAAACTTCTTGACTACGAATCATCATTTTTAGTATCAACGAAGTTGGTGCTGCCCCTACCCGTTATTATGACTGTTATTCCCAGACCGAGAAAATGCACCACTAGCAAAAGCCAGTATAAATTAAGACTTTTGAATGAATCTGTGTTTCATGATTCAAAATAGTCTCTACACTGTAACACAGTAGCAATGCAAGCCGAGTTTTGTTTTCCACCCATTGCCTCTGATACTGCTTGATATACGTAGGTCCATGGACCTCTTTTTTTTTTTTTTTCCTCCGGTACCAGGAACCGAACTCACGACCTTGTGCTTGCCAGGCAGGCGCTTTGCCACTGAGCTAAATCCCCAGCCCCTCCATGGACCTCTTGCTATGATTTTTCAATTATCCACAGTCCAGACTCGGGAACTTCTTCAACAGAAGCTAGACAGCACCTGGTATATGGAATCCATATACATACGCTGAATTTTCTACTTCTCCCCATCAGCTCTTCTTCTGAAATACATTTTGTTTTCTTTCCTTTCCCGCCTGTCTACCTTTGCAGTCACTCTAGTGGAATGTAACACTGAAATCCCAGGCACCAAGGAGATGGCCTAGGGACCGGGACCACAGTCAGCTTCCCCAGCAGACCAAGATGGCGCCCCACACAGGACGCTGACCCGGACCTGGGCTGGGAAGAGGACTCCCACACAGGGCAACTCACTTTCCTTGTAGACTCTGTTAATTTCCTGCAGTTCCTGGTTGGTTCTGGAGCAGATGATCTCGATGAGAGAGTCCTCGTCCGTCCCCAGCCCCTGTGAACCAAGAAACAGAGACATCAGCGGTCTTGCGCGTCACTGGCCCACACCCCTGATCTCCACCAAGAGAGGTAGAAACCGGGTCTGTGAGAATTCTCCTATCCACAGTCCTGCGGACATGTCTGGGGTGTTTTTCTATTCTTTAAAAATTCCTTCGCCAGAGCATAAGAAGATAGATACAGCGTGTTTCAGTTCACCTGTGTTTCTTTGTTTTGTTTTGTGGTACTGGGGATTGAACCCAGGGCCTCGGGTATGCTAAACAAAGCTGTGGGATTTATTTATTTATTTATTTTTAAAGGGTACATGCAAAAAGACAGCAACAGAACACACAGAATTTGAAGTGGTTGTGTTGGTGATAGGCTTATCGAGTAACTTTCCCTTCTTCCTATTTTTATCTTTTCATTTCTATAATAGGCACCCCTTATTTTAATAGCTGGGAAATGATTTTCTTCAACAAACACCTCTTCTCACCAATCTAAGATAAAGGAATACAAACTATTTTATGTTGTCACATACAGCCAGCATCAGAAGATCAAGATAAGTCTTCTTACCTGAGAAAGGTACAGTTAAGATAAAATTTTTAGCTTCTCTTCTTTGAAATGTAAAATTGGGTTAGTGTTAAAAATTTTATTCTTGTACTCCCATTTTTGCCTGATTATTATGCACTCTTCAGGCACTTTAGGCAAGGAAAAGGAAATAATGACATGCCAAATAAACCTAGACACCAACACTTTATTAAGGAATAAGAATTCGATGAGTGATGTATTCAAATTTAATATATACACTTTCGAGCGTGCCAGATAGCTTGAAAGGAGTCAATGAAACATGTATTTCAAAGCTGGCTTCATGATCAAAGTCAAGATTTAATAATCAGGATTCTCTAATACTTGTCTTCCCGAACGTGGAAATATTACTTTGAACTAAGTAGAATTACAACTGTTTAAAATGTAAATCAATTATAAGGTGTTAATACAATAAGAAACTTCTCCACACGAAAAGTGTGTCAGCTATTAATTAAACTTATTAGAGTTTATATGCCCCTGAAAAAGTGGCTTCTATAATCTAAGCTAAGCCTCAGGTTAATAGTTAATTTTGAATTTTTTCTAAATCTAATCTCTGAGCCAAGGGCTCTTCTTCCAGAATTTTTATCATGATTCACAGAGGTTCCAGCAAAGCCAAGAATTCCCCTTTTGTCGGCAAAGGTTCACACTGCGTTCTATACAGATGTTAAAACGACACTGTGCATCTCTGAATGTTTCGTTGAGGGACAGTTGCTCAGTCTTGAGGATGACAGAAATACAGTCTAAAAGTCAGCTCTTGCCTGAAAAGAAATGCGCTATCAAACACTGATGCAGTAGAACTGCAGGACAGGCGTGGTAATATAAGCTTTGATTTCTTCTACCCCTGATACACCGTGTTAATATTGGGGATCCTAATAGCTCCTTTGATCTACATGCGCGAGCGACCTTGGCCATTTCTAAAACTTGGCCCAAGCTTTCCGTAGACTGCTCACAATCACAAGCACAAGGTCAACTTCCCCAGTGACATATGGCAGATTCTGCCGCTGGTATCGCCAGAAGTCAAAACGGATTTTTTTTTAAAGCGTAGTTTGGTGAATGTCTCTTCCAGCCTGATGACTTTCAGAAGGGCACTCAACTGTGATAGCTAATGGAAGAGCTGGCACCAGGGCAAAGCCCGCGCAGGAAAAGCACCTTTCGCTGGGTCCAATTACAGACACAAGGTCAGCGCAGACAGCTCCCTCCGGTCTAAACCTAAAGCAGGCACTAGAACCGGGAACAGAGAGGAGGAGAATCACATGAATCACAACACAATGGATTCTGGATGAAAGTACAGTAAACTGACCCGGGTGCCGATGGTCAGGAGAAACCAGAGAAGCTGCCTGTGAGAGAGGTCTCCGAGCCGAATCATTAAATACTGATGACAAGCCATCGTTCTCAGGGACACCCTCGCTGCAGCACAGCCCACTTGGGGAGCTCACAGCAAGGCCGTGCGAGTGCGAGTCACCCGAGCAGAGCTCTGGAGAAGCTGAGGAAGAGGCCTAGCAGCACCCCTTTCAGCGCCCCGAGCTATCAAGTTGGGGTCCCTGGAGATGCCCCATGTGTAAAGCGGCCTTGTGCCCAAGCTGCTGCCTGGGAAAGGATGACAACTGAACTGGGACACTAGTTCTGGTGACAGGCTTGCAGCCCAGTCAGCTCGTAATTCAGAAACAGTGGTCTCGCAGATAACACGGGAGGCTCAGAAAAAAATAAAATAAAAAAATCAGAGATGCGGCTTCCCGTCCTACAGAGGCTACATCCCGTTGTGCCGGCAGAGGGCAGCATCCGATTACTCAATGCAGCACAAGCACACACTGAAAAAAACTCCCGTCTTTGCTGGAACATACATTCACATATCTGCATTTATGTAGCTATTATATTTAAATAATAGCTGGTGTGTTTAAGGTATGCGTGAAATTCTGGGAGTTTCGACTTAGAGCTTTTACTAATTTATCCTAAAATTTCACAGTCAGGAGAAAAATATAAAAGTATGCGCTGTAAGTCTTCGAACAAAACACAGGTACCATTCACTGTGTGAAATCAACCTTCCCTGTACTATGCTGTTCCAACTCTGCCCGAATTTCAAACAGAGAGTGGAACCTGACGGGAGGAGGCAGAGGAAAAAAACACCCACAAGAGCTTGGGCAGAATTTGCAAGCTCTGCTTCACAAAAGCTCTGAGTTTTTCTGACTCCTTAATATCACAACTTATATTTCTTAAGGAGGAAGTGTAATCAAGGAAGTAGTTTTCCCAAATGGTATTCCAATCACCCAGGTGGCAGCTGGTAACTGGCTTCTCAGCATCGTGAAATTTTTGCAGTCTTTAAAAAAAAAAAAAAAAGTAACTGAAATATTTTTGGTACAAATCCTGAAACTCACAGCTTTGGTTCCTTCAGAAAAGAAAAAAACGCCAAATGAGAATTGAACAGAACTGAAAATCACCCAATTACACTCGAGCAGCTGTAATTCACAAATATTAACGGCAGGTTTAAAGCGGTGACACCTCGCACGCGCTCACCTTCATGGAGGCTTTTAGCTCGGAGGCGTCATACTGAGCAGGTGTCTTCAATAGGCCCAAAATCACCGTCTCCAGGTGGCCAGACAGGGCTGACTTCAGTGCTGACGCGAGTTCCTTTGGGGAAACAGGCAATCACACAGAAAGCATGGTCAGTGACCAACAATGGCTTTCAAACTGCAGAGGAAAGCAGAAGTCTGCCGCTCAGTTTGTAACGCAGCTTTGCGAGCCCTGGGCCAACCCGGGCTCTCGCGTACAACTCCCTCTGACCCACATGTCAGAAACCTAAGGATCAAGTTTTCCCTAAGAACATCTACTGAAATCTACTAACTTTTGCCCATTCTTGCAGAGGACACTGGAGGGGCTGAGGGTGGAGCTCGTAGGCACTTGCTGGTCACAGGCAAGGTCCTGGGTTCGGCCCCCAGCACTGGGGATGGAAGGGACAGTGGGGCTGCGAGCAGCTCCTCGACAGCTCCACCAGGGTGTGAGGGCAGCAGCACACGAGCGGGAGTGGCAATGCCCCATGGGGGCAGGGCGTGTTCTGGGGTCAAGGCCCCTGCTAAAGAGGAGCTGGGTAAGTGCAGGAGCCCGGAGAAGCCCAGTGCGGGTGGCTGCAGAGACCCCATGAGAAGTGTTCCATGGACAGTGCCTCACAGCAGCCTCCGGAGGAAGCCAGGGGCCCCTGCCACGGCCGGAAGTGGCTACACAGCTTCCTGGGGCGATGGCTTCATCTACTGCTGAGTCCACACCTCCTGGTCACCTGGCCACACCAAGTCAGGGTGGAGTTAGTGCCCCGTGGGCCCCTGACTGCCCACTGAATGTGCTTTCTTAAGGGGTCTAGTGTCACCACGGCACAAGAGCTGGAGGCGGATCTCTGAGCAGCTCCTAGCGGGCAGATGACAGCCCGAAGTCCACGTGGCTGTTAAAGATGCGGTCTTGGATTAAACTTCGCCCAAACCAAGGGCACTGGGCGGTGGCTGAGCGCTCCTGCTGGAACTCTCCTTGTCTCTCTCTCTCTCCCTGCTCTGTGCTACTGTCCAGGATCACCCACAACGGCCCCTACGATGTTAGCCCAAAGATGCCTGCGAACTTAAGAGGTGATCTGGAGCCTGCCTAAGAGGCCGTCTTCTCTCATCGCTCACGGATGTCAAGAATATCAGAACCGACGAGGATCCGAAACCACCTGGACCAGCGCTTTGGCCACCTACTTTCTCCTGCTTCCCAGTGTCCTACGGACACGTTGTACTTGGGAGCAGAAATCCCAATTTTAACTGCAGAACTCTGGGGCTAGGTGAGGCCAAGCTCAGCCCACCTGGACAGGGCCCACCCCTGCTGGTTTCTTCTATTCGGGACTCCTCGTGGGTATTCAACTTCCTGTTTCTGACAAGGTCCGGCACAGGGCTTTGCACTGAACAAAACCTCCAGAAAGGCTTGATACCTAAAACACAACCATTCGCTACACAGGGGAACCTGGCACCAGGCATGTGCTTGAGCGTGAAAGCAACACCGAACCAGGCCTCGCCTCCAGCTCCCCTCTCCTTCTGCCAGCCGTGCTCCGGTCTCCAAACTCACCCTGGGGCAGCCAGGGTCCGTGCCAGCAACTCACGGAAACACTAAGACTCTGTTTCTAGAATTTCCTGCAGAAACGACTGCATGCATCTTCCTGTGAGAGACGATTCTCCCAGCCCGAGGGAGACACACTGAGAACCGGCGAGACAGCGGGCTATCCCCGTGCCCAGCACAAGCTGTGTGTGTACAGCGGACGAACTCCACCCGTGTTCTGGCCGCATCTCCCCACACCAGGCTCTTGGAGAGCTTTGTTTTTCACCTATCACATTTGAAAGTAAGATCCGGGCGGCGTCTACGCCTGTGGGTACCCGGCGTTCCAGGCCCACACTCTACGGCAGAGCTGCATGAGCAACACCGGGCCGACCGCCCAAAGCGGGGACCTCCGTCACCACAGGAGCTCTGCCGGACTAGCTCGCAGGTCTTTGGGGAAGCCGGGGAAAAGGCTCACTGCAGAAGATGAACCGAAGTCTGGTAGATGGAGAGTTACTGCACATGAAAGAGACCAGCCGCTTTCCTATTTATATCCTTTCCAACCGCTTCAGACGGTGGAGGCGGCAGCTACAGCAAAGCTTCACCCTCAACTTCCGGGACAGAGAGTCTCTTCCCGAATCCACCTGGCTCACCTCACTGACTAAGTGAGAGCCCTTAGTCAAATGGGAGCCGCGGGAGGCCGCTGCTACTACTCTGTCCAAGAATAAATCAGAAGCTTTTAATAGCAAAAAGTTAAAAATACAGCAGCACATCCTTAAAAATAAAATGTCCCAACCCCGCGACAAAGTAAAGTCGGAGCTGCTCTCTAACCGCGGGCGGACGAGCAAAGTAAAATGGTCACAAAGACCCTTTACGCAGTGGGCGGGTGGCACAGTTAGATTGCCCAGTCTTAAAGCTTCAAGTGCATTTTTCAAAGCACGAGCCCATTGGGATCAAAACTTAGCAGAGGTTACAGTCCCGAGACTAAATTAGAACCAGCTTATCAAGGGCCAGCAGGAGTCCTGAAGGTGAAACGAGTTGCTAGGTGTAGCACGGAGCCCGGCGCTGGCCCGAAGTATCCTCTCATCCACCGCACCTGTGCTGGGTGGTGTCACTGTTATTCTTTGTTCTTTCTCAGCTTTCACTTCCAGCCACTGCCCTCTCTGTATCTGCTGGGTGGGAGGAACAGGGTGTTGGAATAAAGCGTGTTGTCTTCATGAAGTGGCGTTGAGGGGGTCATAAGAGGAAAACCTTGGATGCCCAAGGGTTCCAGAAGGTTCTTGGCGGTGAGCGCCATGCTTCACGACAAAAGGCAGCAGCATTTGAGGAAATCACAGCAGGCCAGGCACACCCGGCCCTCTCTCTACAGCGGCAGGTACCTTTTTGGTCCTCCGGTGGTAGGCGAAGGCGATGTCCTGTCTCTGTGGATTGCTGCGGTTGGTCAGGATGTTGACAATGGTGACCTCGTCCACACCTGCGGAAACACAAATTGGGAGCAGTCACCTGGCCGCCTCCTGTTGTGCTCTGGGCTGACAGAGAAGGCTGTAAGCGGGATTTTACAAACTGAAATGTTTGTAAATGAAAAACACGAGGATGCCGAGGCTTGTTCTGTTCTGCCGGCGGACCTCTAGCCAACAGAAGCAGCACTCCTCGTTTTCCACCTCACACCCTCAAACCTCGAGCCTAAATGGGCCTTTTAAATATTATTTTAAAAACTATTTGACTCATAAATTGGTTTCTGAAATCAACAGTAGGAGGTGCGTTTGCAGGGCTTTGGCAGTGGCACAGAGCAACGGGGATTTAAGAGGATTTTAAACCAAGGTCCTCCAATTGCCATTTCACTGAGGATTTAATAGACAGTAACTGCAAAATGAATTAACAGACAATTATTTATATTTATTGCAGGATTATGGCTATATAAGCAGCTAGGTATAATTTCTATAATTATAGAAACTGCCATGACAGATGAGTCAGGCTTAATGTGGCAGTTGTGTTTTAATAGCATAATTGATTAACATAATCGCACTTATTGAAGAGTAAATTGTTTTGTAAGGAACATAAACGTTCCACTGCTCTCAGTCTTCAATAGGCAATTTTAATAATCAATTTTATAACTTTGTGAAAAAGAGTAAGTGTTTTAATCTAAATTAAATCTAAATTGGGAGTTTTGAAGCGCCACCAAAATATTTTAGTAGCTATTTTAATTGGAACATGTGTATTTACAAAGATAAGCAATGCCTTGTGGTATCTGGAAGTTTCCAATTTTATATCGGAAATACTCCTCACACGCCGTTTAACCGAAGAAAGCACAAGTTTAAGGGTTCGGAATGTGAAAGGGCTCCCTTGCAACTGATTATGAACTTTGTTTAATAAAAGGAAAAGTCTTTGGCATGACTGAGCCCGTAGCCCTGGGTGACGGAGTAGGGAGTAGCGTCTCTAAGCCTGCGAGGTGACTCGCCCACAGCAAACAGCTTGGCCTAAAGGGAATCACAGGAGTCTCAGAGACCGAGAGGCAAAGACAAGCGCCGGGCTGACAGAGGCAGTATCCTGACCTCTCAAGGGTGGCAGAAGGATCAAAAACCACAAGGGCAGAATTTCTGAGCACAAAAATAAACAACATTTTGCCAAACGTACAGAGGTCACCAAAAAATATATATACTCTTCAGGAAAAGAAAAACAGTGTGATATTTTTTCAACAGAAATGGTGCTGCCCTCGCATGGGGGATCCTAGAGGATGTCGGGTATCTCTGAAAACCCACTACACTGCCGGCCCTTAGAGGAGACACTGCAAATGCACGTGCAATAACCTCTACGACCGAGGTCACCCAAGCAGCCTTTCGCAGTACTAACAGATGTGTGGGGGCTCCTGGTCACCACTACGAGCGCCTCTTACAATTGTAGAGGCCAAAGGTAACCGGTATGAATATCATGAGGTCTCAGTAAATGTAGTATTAACATATTTCTACATGTTTTTCTTTTCCTGAAGTGTGTACACATTTTTTGGCAAGCGCTGTATATGCTCCTTTCAAAATGTGTTCATAGGGGCTGGGGATTTAGCTCAGCGGCAAAGCGCCTGCCTGGCAAGTGCAAGGTCGTGAGTTCGGTTCCCGGTACTGGAGAAAAACAAACAAACAAAAAATACAAAATGTGTTCATACCAATACAGTGGCTGGCTTAACCAAAGCATTTACAAGGTCAGCTCAGATTTTTAGAGCAGCCAAAGTAAACACAGAAACCCAACTATTGTGTATTAAGAGTCAGGTTCAAAGATACTTGGTTTCACTTATATAAAATGTTGAAAAATAAAAGGAGAAAAAAACACAATATCCAGCAAGAGACCAATTAAGTGTTCTTTTGTCCACAGAATGGTACTGTGCAATCATTTTAAATGGCCTAGAAGTATTCACTGGTGTGGAAAAATATTTGCAAAATATTTAGGATATTTGGGGATGGCCCAAGACTTCCAGTTCCCACTACAGACACTCGCAGAATAAGCCTTCATTCCTGTTTTGTTTCATTTAAGTATGGGTAAGACAGATGTAATTAACCATTCGTTAAAGTCACGGGGGACTTGAGTGGCCCGGTGTGCACACCCACTCACACATATTCTTTCCCTCTCCCATTCTCACTCTCTTTCAAAAATTCTACGGCTCGAGCCGGGTGTAGTGGCACATCCCTGTAATCCCAGCCACCTGGGAGACTGAAGCAGGAGGACCTCTATGAGTTCGATGTGAGTCGGGCTACATAGTGAGTCTAAAGCCAACCTGAACTACACAGCTAGTAATTGTCTGTCTCAAAAAAAAGAAAAAAAAAAGCTGGGCATGGTGGCACACACCTATTGTCCCTGCCCTCAGAATGCTGAGGCAGGAGGATCACTGCAAGTCTGAGGCCAGCCTGGGTTATAGAATGAGTTCAAGGCCAGCCTGAACTACATGGCAAGACCCTGTCTCAAAAAAACCAAAACAAACAAACAAACAAAAATCTACGGCTCTAAATTTATACTAGGAAAGCTACTAATTTATTTATATATTTTGGCCTTATATTTTATGATGCAATTCTGAAAAAAACTGACAAATCACAACAAAATACAATTCAATCCTCAACTACTATTTCTGAAATCAACTTAGGGGTGGCTGGCCTGAACACATGCTAAGAACACCAATCCATGAAAAATTACTGTCTTGGAAACAAATGCAAAGTGTGTATTTCTGTCAGAATACGATACTCTGCCAACTGGTATTGAAATTCCCTGGAGCATTTATTAAAAATATAGTCCTGGGGCTGGGGATTTAGCTCAGCGGCAAAGCGCCTGCCTGGCAAG